TCCTTCTTCCTTTTCCTCTCCTTCCTTCCCCTTTCCATTTCCCCTCCTTCTTTTCCTCCTCCTCCTCCTCCTTCTCCTCCACCTCCTCCATCCCTCCACCTCCTCCATCCCTCCCCTTCGCCTCCACCTCCTCCATCCCTCCACCTCTCCTCCCCCTCCACCTCCTCCTCCACCCTTCCCCCTCCACCTCGTCCTCCACCTCTTCCTCCATCCCTCCCCCTCCACCTCGTCCTCCACCCCTCCCCCTCCACCTCTCCGCCCCCATATCTGACCGTCGCATCAGCTGGTCGATGTGCCAGAGAGTCGCCAAGTGGGTGGAGTCAGCGAAGTCTTAAGGGCACTTAAGGAGAACAACAAGACGTCTTGGAAGAAAGGGGGGTAGGGGTGGGGTGGGGTGGGGGGTGGTTGAGGGGGGGAGGGGTTTATAAACGGTGGGTGAATTACTCTTCTCTTTTGATCTCATTTCTTTTTCCATTTTCCTTTGTCTTCTGCCTCTGTCTTCATTCTGTCTAGCTCTCATTTGTGATTGATTTCTGTTTGTATGTCTCTGTTCTTATATAAAAAAGAAAACAAAACAAAAAAATATCAGGTTGTCTATGTTTCTCCATCAGTATCTATCTATTCGTCTGTCTATTTGTCTCTGTTTTTCTCTACATCTAACTATATCGACCAATCTACATATACGTACAATAATCTATCTTACACCCTGTCTTTCCCCCCTAAGTTAATCTATTAGTCTATTTGAATCTGTTTGTCTCTCTTCCTGTCCTGTCTCTCCCTCCCTCCCCCTTCCCCCCTCCCCCCAATCATTAACCCTTCCGGAGCCAATTTCCTTCCCGAACATTCCCAAGATATGTCAGTATCGGTGCAGGTAATTAGCCCAATGACCCTGCGCTTGCTAATCGAGACTAATTGAGATCCCCCCTCCCCCTCCCCCTCCCCCCAGCTCCCCTATTCCCCAGGGAGGCACCACCGCCGCTGCTGGCAACAGGAAATAAAAAAAAATCAGTGACGCAAATTACACGAGGATGGAACGTGAATCCGCATTTTTCTTTCTTCATTTTTTTTTTATTTCTCGTCTCATTTTTTAAATTTCTCGTCTCATTTTTTTTATTTCTCGTCTCATTTAAAAAATTTCTCATCTCATTTTTAAATTTCTCGTCTCATTCTCGACTCATTTTTAAATTTCTCGTCTCATTTTTTTTTATTTCTCGTCTCATTTTATTTATTTATTTTTTATTTCGTCCGCTCCCGGTGATTTCGCTTCACTCCCGGGGGCGCGAGGTCATGGCGCCAGAGGATGCCTCGGAGGGACGACATGGCACTCTGGCTCGCCCACCTGAGTGCCAAGCGTAGCAATCCACATAAAATAACAGCGACGAAGTTCGAAATCCCATGGAAAGAGAGGGAGAGGGAGAGAGGGAAAGAGAGAGGGAAAGAGAGAGGGAGAGAGAGGGAGAGAGAGAGAGAGAGAGGGAGAGAGAGGGAGAGAGAGGGAGAGAGAGGGAGAGAGAGAGAGAGAGAGGGAGAGAGAGAGAGAGGGAGAGAGAGGGAGAGAGGGAGAGAGAGAGAGAGAGAGAGAGAGAGAGAGAGAGAGAGAGAGAGAGAGAGAGAGAGAGAGAGAGAGAGAGAGAGACATCATGAGCCCTTCACACGCAGCGAAGCACAGAGGACCAGTTCCTTCTTAGAAGCGTACATCCGGGACGCCGCGGCTCCGTCAGTTGTGAGTCAGAGAATGGGGGGGGGGGGCTGTCTCGCGCGCCCCCGAGGTAGGGAAAGGGGGGAATGGGGGTGGCATAAGGTGAGCGGAGGGAAGTGTGCGATCAATTCATGACTCAAAGGAAATGGCAAACACTCACAAGCACACAAACAAAAAACGCCACACACACATAAACACACACAATCACACACACACACACATATATACACACACACACACACAATAACACTCATCAGGCTAGAGAGGAATAAATCAAAATAGACACGCTGTCCCTCAAACATTAACCCAACGATATCCGAAAGCAATCCAGGGCCTCCTCACCCCTCCCGTCGACAGGCACTCCTCGCGGCGCTAACACTCGGCGTGGCACTCCTCGGCCTCAGGGGCTCAAGGGAAGACTTAATGCGTAACACTTGGATCGATTGACTTTCACCTGCGGGCATCTGATTAAGCGGCGCAGGGGATGGCGGAGGAGGAGGAGGAGGAGGAGGAAGAGGAGGAGGAGGAGGAGGAAGAGGAGGGGGAGGAGGAGGAGGAGGAGAAGAGGGGGGAGGAGGAGGACAGAAGGAAAAGAGGGAAGACGAGGAGGAGGAGGAGAATAGGAAGGAGAAGGAAGATGAAAAGGAAGGAGGAGGAGGAGGAGAATAGGAAGGAGAAAGAAGATGAACAGGAAGGAGGAGGAGGAGGAGGAGAAGAAAGAATAAGGAAGGGGGAAAACGAGAGAGAAGGGAAGGGAGAGAAGAAACATGCAAATCTAGGCACCATTCGTCCTTTAGAGTT